AAATATATTTCATTTAAAGTCTGCCAAATTACAATATCCGACGAAAAGTTTATAATAGTTGAAAGCTACACGGTTGGCTATCTGCACTATGTCCACCATGCGAAACCAAACCCTGGATTATAGCACTCTTAAGTCTGTAAGGGACAAAAAAGGCAGGTTTAGGGTTTGATATACAAATGCTACATTTTTCAGCTAATTAAACAAATTTTATGTACTGTAGCTATTAAATAACTTTCACGAATATGTACAGTTTATGGTAATACCAAGTTACACAAACACGAGTGTATTGGTACCATACCAGAATGAGTTGTTTTTTATTGAATGAGTTCAGTTGTGATTATACGATAACTGGGATTCAAGGAGGCTGGAACAGTAAGTTCAATTAATCTAAATTTAAAGAACAGAATCAAATAAGAGTTCACAGAACATTGGTTTTAATCTGTAATATTAAATACACGTCTTGTTCTGCATACTATATTTTTAATGGAAGAGAAATGGCATGATGAATATACTTTAAACTTACTGCACTTGTTTCACTTACAGTTAAGCACAAGGTGGTTTCGGGAAAATACAGTCTACAACATGTTAATGGGAGTTATCCTTTTCATTAAAAACAGCACATTTTCTTCCTAACGTTAGGCTTGACGCTTTGTTTTATGTACATGTATCTTGTGTAGTTGTTTTATAGTTCTCTATTAAAACACTTTCAAGAAGCTTTTCTTTGAGAATTATCCAAGAAATAAATGACTTTGTTATTGAAACGACATTTTTTATTCTAAATGCATTTAATAGTAAGAGAAAGTGTGTTCTTATTCTTAATAAAATTACGGAGCAGCGAAAACCAAGGTCATCAAGGATTAGAACCCTGTAAAAGTAACTTGTAAGTGTAAATTGTAATTTAATTGTTACTAATAGTGAACTTAAAAGGTTAACATAAAGCCTTATAAATTATACTTTTAGTTTTACAGAACAGATTTAATGTGCATGTACTCATGATTTAAGTCTATATCGTTTAAAATGTTCCTTTTCAGTTTTTGTTGATTCACTAAGTAGAGTAAGAAAGCGAAACCTAAACTAAGTTCATAACTAGGAATGTAGCACTGACAGTCGCTTATCTATTGTGCATTTCAATCATTACTCAAAGATTTAAACAAAATATGTTCATGATAAACAGTTTCAGATATTGCTATGTATTTAAAAGTTACCATTTCTGGTGAAATGTTTACATCTGACTCTTAAGACAGAAGGACCAAAAACTAGAACCTCAAATGAATATCTCACTCGTTTCTTTGGTGAAGACTATTCAAAAGTTGATATATATTCATGTATGTGTGTGTGTGTGTATGCATTTTTATGTTTGTAGAAGCACTAATGCAAAGTATTTTTATGAGTCTTATTCTTTTCCTGAACTCAGTGCTTCATGTAAGTACTATTTGTAAGTTTGTTATAAATGCAACCAGAAAAAAATCATCTTTCCGTTAAATTTTAATTTGTTTCAGTAGTTTAAAGAACCTTACCTGCACTTATACTGAATGTGGATATTGGCCAAGAAAATTTTAATCTGTGCACCCATATATTTGGGTTGCATAAAACTTGAGGTTGTACAAATGTTTAGTGTAATTTATATATAGGATGTGTGGTCTACTAGCTGTCCATATAGTTCAGTTACTGTTACACTTATGTATGAAGTAGCTATTTGGTTATTTGTCAAATGTTTAATTATTTACTGTCTTTTTTCACAGCACTACTGAGCCACAAATGTTACGTGACACAGCTGAAGTATAACAGTAGTCACCTTGTGTTCATCCACACGTGGAGCTAAGCTCTCAAACGAAACTGTTGATAACACTATTTTTTAACTGGCTTTCTTTTTTTTGTTTGTTTATTTAAAAATAGTACAAAATGGCTGAAAGTGACAATGGGAATGAAAGAGGTAATGTAACTGCTAGAATTGATGATGATATCTGCCGTGATTTTCTACGTAACGTGTGCAGGCGTGGATCTAATTGCAAATACAGACACCCAGAACCTGAAAAAGAAAATCAAGAAGGCGGAAACAAGGATATTAAATTCTGTCGTGATTTTCAAAATAGAGGTTGCCGTCGAGCCAACTGTAAGTTCGTACATTGCACTAAGAGAGAAGAAGAATACTACTTAAGTACGGGCAAGTTACCGAGGCACGTACAGGAAACTTTGGGAGAAAAAGTTCCAGTTTGCAAAGACTTTTTGAGGGGTTTTTGTAAGCGAGGAATTTATTGTAAGTTCCGACACTTAACGACACATGAATATGAAATGGAAATGGGTGGGGGGAGAGGGCTACCCGTCATGGGTGACTCGGAGTTTGATGATTTTGGATTTGAATTTCAGCCACAACGTAAACGGCCAGCTTTTGATGGTAGTTTTGCTGCTGGTGATGGACCAGATGGTCCAGGGGTGTTGCTGCCCACTCCTGGTCCTGACCCAATGGCAAACACTTCCATGCCTGATGTTCAAATGTTGGAAGGGGAAAACTCAATCCTACGACGTAAAGTAGAGGAACTAAAAAAGCAAGTTACGGAATTAACTTCAACTGTCGAGTACCTGTTGGAACAAAACGCACAGCTGCGTGCATCTAAGCAGTCAAGTATGCCCCCACTTAATCCATCTCCTAAATCATATTCATTCCAAAGCAGTGGACCGAACACCACCCGACCATGGTAACTTTGAATAACTTGGCAGGTTAAGTTTTTCACTTTCATGGAGGTTTTAAGGCCAAGTTGATGAATGCTGCAGTTGGTAGTAATTGTTTTAAAAGTATTCAGTCATTCTTCATCTGATAAACTCGTACATTTTTTTTTCTTCCAGTTCCCTAAAACCTTTAAATGAAAGTTTTGTAATGTTTCAGAACATATTTTATATCATTTAAATGGGAAAAGTATACCATGATGTACCACAGTTATTAATAAGCAAACGGTCGTACCTTTTAGATGCACTTATCGGTAGTGAAAATGGGATATTAAATATTTAGTATTTTTCTATTAACCATATGAAAGTTTATTTTCTTTTATTATTTTGCTCTTCGCTTACAAACAGCTACAAGAAGTCAGTGACTAATTAATAATTACACTGGTGTGTTTTGTAATGTTATATTTTTTGTGAAGGCTGAAAATTCCAGGTAACATTGTTTGTCATAACAGGTTGTCTCTATGGGGATGTGCCGATATGAAAATCACTTGGTTATTGATTAAATGGTTTTCAGTAATTTGTCATTTTAATCAGTTAGTTTTTGAATTTACTGTACTCCTTCATCAACAGTTATAAACAATGTTAAGTGACATACTACTTCTGCCTTGTGACATCTTAATAAACATAATTTATTTTGGACATGTCCAACTCAGTTTAAAACATCTTCACCCAGTTTCTTATAGCCTATAGAAGTGCCCAGGATTAGAAATTAACTTTTTAAAGCAGTAGTCAGTATTTGCTACCTGCCTGAAAAGTTGGAAACAAAATGATTTTATCCACTAGCTGCTAACACCTTAAGTTCTTTTGGAGTATTGCTTAACATTCAAGGTATTCCTTAAAAAGAAGTTAGTATAAAATGTTATTGAAATTTGACAAATTAATTCCAAAGAACAGAGTTTAACAAACAACAGTAAATATTCCTACTAACCTCTAATACTAACAGTTATTAAATTATTATACTAATAGGCACTAGGGATACCAAAGACACTACAATAATGTCGCTAGTAGTAGTACGAACAAAACAGCAGATATGAAGACTTTTTGGAGGGAAATGACTGTCAAACAATTTCGAAAAATATAGACTGTTAATAACGTAAAGAAAAAAATCTTGGCTATATATGCTTAACTCTTTCGAAAAAAAATACTAAAATTTAATAAAAAATATACTTTCAAAAGCTACAGCGCTTAACAAAAACCTAGTACGGGAGAAATAAGAAACTAATAAAATACTATAGTTAAATACGATTTTAGCAAATATAGTGTAGAAATGACACATAGAAAGTGTTATAAGTATCATATCGCTCGTTATTAAAAAAATCAAATTAAGCAGAAACATAATGTTACGACAGCGGAAGTCACGTGACTCTAGTAACACGTCATGATATTCTAGAAGGATCATGTCTATTCGTGGCAACTCTGGCC